TTCTTCTGTAACCGATGCCATCATTATGCTTTGCAACAATAAGGTTGTGAAGGTCTTGAGAGAAGTCTTCACTTTTACCTTTAGTTCAGCTGGTGTCTTGGCTTTCCATATTCATGTGTTCAATACTTTTTCCCTGTGCCATTCCACATTATTACAAATAACTTCACTTCTGGACATTTATGGTTTGATTTCTTTGTATGTATGGATCACTTGGGTTGTTACCAACATCTAGTGAAAATTTCATGTCATTAGCACCTCTAGTAATATATTTACTGAGAAAAACATTGAGGTGTTCAATACTTATTATTCCCACTGTATATGAACACCTTCCCAGCTGGCGAGGGTGCGCGCGCCTGGCACGAGTATCTACCCAAAGCGCGAGCCTGCTGCGCTATGGCAACAACTCAACTCAGCATCAGTCAGAAGACAACAAACAGAAAAAATATTTATTTTTACCGTACAGTGAGCCACCATTTGCATCCGATTTTGCTCCCTCTCTTCAGCCTTTTTTATTTATTAATTTTTTTATGTCATACGTAATGTGTCGGGTTTTTCCAGCCCGAGACCCAAAATGTTTTCAACTATGTGACAAAAATATAAAAACAGTTTACAGACTGGACTGAGGTTCTTTGATCATTTTTAGACTGATCTATTTTCTTGTCTGAGGTTAAATGATTTTCATTCCCGGGGTTCAGTTTCATGATCGTTCCAGTTTAAACAATAAAAACTCAAACTAAAAAAAAAATCTGACACCGTGTTCAGACGCTCCTTACATCCAGAAAACACAACAAAGTCATATTTCTGTAGATTCAGGTCAGATTCGTGACTTTGTGAGTTAAAACTGTTCAACTGAAAAACTTTGCGTGGCTGCTGCACATTCTCACGACAGGTGAAAAATGCGCGTAAATATACGCACACTTTCACGCAACGTTGGTTTTAATACATCCCAACGTGGGCGTAGAACCTGCTGCACGTTACTTTTTTGTGCGTATGCACCGTTTATACATGAGGCCCCTGGTCTGGGGTGGAAACTGTATGAAGTTAAAAGTGGAAAATGAAATACATGGTTAGACAGGCAATAAAATGTTTAGCATTTAGGTTTTTGTGCTCATAAAACAGTGGCTTGGAGAGAATTACAAGACCAAACATTTTAGTTAATACGATCAACTTTACGGAGCATATTGTTTTGTTCAACATGAAAAGTTTTTGAGACTGAAAAATATATATTTGAAATTGAAAATAACAGATGAAACTTTTTCAGTTTCTAATATTTTTTCTTCAGTTTGAAACATGTCTGAGCAGACCCGGAAAACTCTGCTGTCTGACTGTTAACAATGTCTGGGGCGACCATCAACTAGAGCCTGGATCTCCATGCCGCAGATCAAATGCCCCTCCTTTGTCAAAGCGAGCCGGGCCGACCGTTTGAGCTCCGTGTCCTGGGGGAGGAGCCAAACCCACTAAGCCTGAATGCACACAGGCATATAAATGATTGATAAGTGCCTTCCAACCTGCTAGGAGGTATAGGGGGAACAGTCTGCAGACAGTTTGGAACTGAAAACCTCTAATAACAGCCATTTAATGGACTGACAACATTCGATTTGAAGGGGCTGGGTGGCTCCTGAAGGCAACAGCTTGTCCAGACCATGTTGAGCATTCAATCATGATTTTGCATCGCCTGGCTTTTGGAAAAACAAATGTTGAAACTGAAAAGGCTTTGTTTGAAACTTTTCCAGTTTCTAATATTTTTTTCAGATTCAAAGAATTTTTTTTCAGTTTCAAAGATTTTTTTTTTCAATTCCGAAAACTTCGTATTTTGAACAAAACTTATGGCTCCAATTTAGCTCCATACATCCTGTGCTAAAACTAAATGAGTTATAACCATTTGGGTCAAAACTAAAAACTAACGTGTGATGTTGTGATGCAATATTTCCTTGCACATTCACCAGTTTGTCAGGACTTAAACACCACTTGTTGTTGATGGTGTGATTTAGTGATAACATATAGAGTCTGTGAGAACCATCCAGCTGCATGATTTAAAGTCTAAACCAGAGCCGGCTCTTGGCATGGGCGAACTAGGCAGTCGCCTAGAGCGCCATCTGCTGGAGGGGACGCCAAACTGCAGAAGAAAAAAATGAAATTATTTGTAATCCCTGGTTGTAACTCTGCTCAGCGCCCCTTTCAATAAGCTTTGCCTTAAAAAATATAATGAAGTATTACAGGAAAATTAAACTATTCTACCCATAAAACATCCCCCCCCCCCACCAATGCAGCAACCACCCCACCCTCTCTCTCATTTGATTAACGTTGCACTGACTCGTCCTGCTCCGACACTCTGACGGGGGAGGGGCTAGTAGTGTCTCTCAGGTAGTGGTTCGTGTTGACAAACTCATTAACAAGTCTTTATTTTGTTGTCCCATACATGTCAACCTCTTCAGACGTTAAACTGTATAAAAAGCCTCAAAAATCCATAAATTTTGCTAAAAAGAAATCCATACAGCTCACACCCGGGGGTGGGGTGTCAGCCTCGCTGAGGACGTGAAAGCGCCCACTGCGAAGCAGGAGGAAAGGAGAGCGGAAAAAGTTAAAAACTTATTTCTACCGGCAGAACAGGTTGGAAGATGGCTGTTTAATGTTATTTTTTTTTTTTTTTTACAAAAATAATCCTACAGGCTATGACGTTAGATAAATTTGAAAATGAGGTTTTTAAAATATCCGTAAGACTTGAAAAAATCCATGAGATTGCTCTATATGTCTGTATACCTGCAAAATGGCATAAAATCCTTATGACTTACTGACAATCCGTACAAGCTGACATGTATGTTGTTATTTATTTGCTTTCTGGGAAAGCAAATAAATCTAAGTTTACCATAGTACCTTACACTGTCAAACTTGTTTTTAGGGGTTCAAATTGGGGTGGGTGGGACATAGTTCAGGGGGTGGGGGGTGGTTTGCGCTTCAACTCGCCTAGGGCACAAAAATGGCTAGAGCCAGCACTGGTCTAAACTATGGTTTAGCTACTTTTGTTAGAAGTTTATACCAATTTGTTTCAGTATTGCTTATTTTGTCATTTGTTCCCTTCTGAACTCATCTAAATCCTTTAACTCTTTTATCTTTCTAGTCTAGCCTGACACTCTTTCTTTGCTCTGATCCAAATGTTTTCATTTTGTGTCCAAGTTGCTATGGCCTTGTCTCATGGGCAATGTTTCCTTTCTTTTTGGTTAAATATTCATTTATGTATACATTTGTTGCCTTCAGCTTTTTTTTGCTTGCGTTATCAAATTATTTCTTAACTTCCTGCTAATGAACCTGATAATAGACTATTTGAATTTTTCTGATTTACCAGGCGAGGTGTAACAGATGGAAATGTCCTCATGTTTGATGTCAGTGTCTTTATTTAGTAAAAAGTCACCACTTGATGTTCCAGAGTCAGTCCTTCTGTTGTCTCTCGGTTTGCTATAACTCTTGCTCAGGTCTGGTGTTTAGTTTCCATTCTAGTAATTTGAAAATCATCTCTTCTTGTATATCATTGCAGATCATTCACTTTTTGCTTCAGCTATTGATTTTTTTTTTTTGGGGTCAAAACGAGCCTCCTGTTGTGTGTTTGTGTGTGTAGGTGGGTTTGTTGGGTCGAACAGGCTCAGGTAAAAGCACCCTGCTGTCAGCTCTGCTGCGCCTGGCTTCCACTGATGGAGAAATGTTTATTGATGGAGTTTCATCCAGCTCCATTCCTCTGCAGATGTGGAGGAAGGCCTTCGGGGTGGTGCCGCAGGTACTCCTCGGAAAAAACAACAAGAGTCTAAAAAAAAAGACCTGATTTCCCGGTTTTCATTTTTAAAGTGTGTAAGTCAGCTGACGAGGAGTCTTGTTCATTTCACAGAAAGTATTTATCCTGACTGGATCTTTCCGGATGAATCTGGACCCATACGGACGTTACAGCGATGAGGAGCTGTGGAGGGTGGCTGAGGAGGTGACTTCTCGTGTTCTTAGTAATAATGATGTGTCGTAATATTCACATTTAAATATCTGTGCTGGAGTGACTGAAGGCAGACTTTCAGCACACTCACTCCTGCACTTTTTTCAACTATTTTATGATGTGAAAAGTAATGAACATGAGATCAAAGGTTTTATTTCCACTGCAGGAGGTGTGAGAGGTGTGCACAGCCCCGTGCAGTTGTAGTAAATATATTTTCTCCTGTCACTGCAGGTTGGGTTGAAGTCAGTCATCGAGCAGTTTCCAGATAAGCTGGACTTTCAGCTTGAAGACGGCGGCAGCGTTCTGAGTAACGGACACAAGCAGCTCATGTGTCTGGCTCGCTCCATCCTCAGCAAGGCTCGGATCCTGCTTCTGGACGAGCCTTCTGCTTACCTCGACCCCATGTCAGTATCACCACCGACACACACAAGCTTCAGTTCAAAGAGAAATTATTCTGTTTTCATTAACACACAATCAGCAGTTTGGCCTCAAAGATGCAGGTGTAGTTGGAGAAGGTGGTGTGTGGAGAGATGATTTGATTTAAATCCATCATAAATGTCATTATATCCCACATGCTGAACCTTAACAACACAGCATGTCCTGAAGACTGTTCGTCTGCAACACTGACCCAAACTTACTCATGGACAATGAAAGTTTAGCCAAGAAGAAGAACAAAACATCTGTGGTTTCACTGGATGCAGGTCTTTGATCTCATGAAATGATTATATTTATTTCATGTCCTCAAAGGTTTTGGACTCAGTGCTAACTTTATTACATCTGTAAAGGTGTTTTATCAGACACCTAAAGTATTTGTACTTATAAAATGTCACTTCTTTTCACAAGCAGAGGCAGTTCACAAAGACTGCTGCATCAAAGCTTTCAGACTGAGACAAAGTAACAAAGTCTCACGATATGCTGATGACACTCTGATGTCCCTGATGTCTGATCCCTGTGCTCCTGATGCTTTACAGGCCCATGTACCCACATCACCTCCACCTTACAGGTTCTTTATAAAACCTGTTTTATTCAGATCCTGCTTATCTTGTTTTAGCCAGCTTTTTGTTCCAATTATCCGCCATTTAAAACAGGACAGTCTCCCATTTCTGTGTGCAGTACACCGATTTAAAAAAGAGCAAATTAACACATCTGTAGGTTTTTTTTTTGCAACCCTTTTCAGAAGCTAACCTATGACCTGGCTTTAAAAAAAGAAGAAAAAAAGAAGCTAACCTAATACAGTCAAAGGTTTTCTCTTGCTAGTTTTTCCAATGCGGGTGCAACTTTTCCACTAACCAGGTCCAACCCTGCTTAGCTTCTGAGATCAGACAAGAGCTGCCATGTTCAGGGTGGTAATGTGTTACAACCCTTTCAGATTGTATCTACAGTTTATTACTGACATCTGTAGGCAAGCTGACCCGTGCACTTATTCTTTCTGTAATGTGACAAATAATCTAAATTATCTTTGCTTACTGTAAAAACTGTGGAGCAATGCCGGCCTCGGTTCTCTGATCCGATACTTGTGATCAGCTCGGCACATCCTTAACTTCCGCTGTTGTGAGTGATATCAGTGTGAACCCTGGTGAGTTACTGGTGGCTGTGCGCTGACACACAGTGCGCTGACACACAGCTGCCTCCTGAAACATATCGGAAGTTTGTGTATTTGTTTTGGTCCTGTGGGGACCTGGGCCAGAGGGTCAGGGTGACGCACAGACCGTGGAAGTCCACCATGTGTGGCATTCCTGTCACTGCATGTGGTGACAATCTGGACTGCTTACAGTAAATTTGATCTACTGTGTGTGTGTGTGTGTGTGTGTGTGTGTGTGTGTGTGTGTGTGTGTGTGTGTGTGTGTGTGTGTGTGTGTGTGTGTG